AACAATGCAACTTCACCATGTTATACTCTGACGAACAGATCAGACGTTACTCGATGGTGGTGACGACCTTGTTTGTCTGGTTAAGGTTAAACTGGTTCTTTATTTTTATTAACAATGATAGAGGAGGGCAGGTCCTAGTTCGGGTAAGGCATCTTACAAAGTAGGTAAGTCACCTTTCCGACAGACCTGTGCCCAGTCAAAAATTGAAACGTTCTATGACGTGGACACGGGCGTCACCCCGCATCGTTATTTTCCTTACTCATCAGTTTAAGGCATGCCCTCTGCTGGTGAGGAGATAGCTGAAGTGCTTTAGTACAGATACTTTCTGTTAGGGTGTTGCGGTCACTCGTAATATTTTTTGTAAAGCCTCTTTCAGGATTAACGTGAAGTAAGTTTACAAGTAAAACTGAAAAAATTCACAATACTATAGCACAACGACATAACCACAAGTAAAACTGAAAAAATTCACAATAACGTACTGTGCAGACGTTAACAAATAAATGTCTCAAATCCCAATGCCTTTGCTGCCAACGGCTACCGCAAAGCCTTATGGGTATGATGTTACATTGGTTAAAATAATAGAAGACTGGTTAGTTTAATTAATTTTTTACTATGGTTTTAGGGTGATGGCCTAATTTGTGACCTAATTAATTCAAACTATTTTTAGACATTTGTTGTTAGATTAGCGAGTAGTTCAAAATGTTAACTACGTTATTCGCTGGTTGTTAGATTAGCGAGTACTTCAAAATGTTAACTACGTTATTCGCTGCTACAGGTAGTCTTTGAGTGTCTTGGCCTAAACCGGCTTCCGTTGTGATAGATTCTCCTCTGCGCGTGCGTGTTCGGCCAGCGTAAGAAAATGGCAGACGTTTCTTTGGATGAAGTGATACGACAGCGCGGTATAAACCTCAAAGCTCAGGCCAAACGGTAATTAAACATTGTATTGTATGTCAATAGTTGCTTATATTAGATCGAATAAATTATAGAAACTTTTGTTATGGGCAGTGCATGCACCCGACCTTCCTTTTACTTCATTGGTATATAATGCTAACATTAGCCGAGGTTAGATAGCACTAGCGACTGCGTGAAGGCCGAGATTAGTTAGGCCTAAAGTCCTGAGTAAGAGTGTTAAAACTTTTAATACATGGACATACGTATTGGTTTATTGATTGTACGTGTGCAAGTCGTATTTTAGATCGAAGAAACATTTGCGTCTACGTAAAATAGTATCGTATTGTCAAATGTTGTTCAAACAAACAATCAAAAAAATACTCGGTATGTTTTCCCAACAGCACAATCAAGCAAATCAAAGCAGAAAGCACTGGTTAAAAATGTACGGCAAATTTGTTTTTGTAGAATCTATTACGTGAAACTTGCATTTCGACATTAACCCTGATCTTTAATCCATAGTTTTAAAAATATTTCTTCATATTTTTTTCTTTTAGACCAATGTTTGGACGGGGTGTAGGAACCAAGAGCTTTGATGCCCGGCAGAGGATTGGGGTCAATGACGTCCGACAGCGTCTTGGAGGAGGAACAGGTCCACATTGAGTCCACATTGTTAACCGGTCACAATATATCAAAACAATCCAGTTTAATATTTATCTATCCTTGACTCTTAGGTTTCCAAGTAAAAGATGCAAGAGAAAAGCTTGGACAAAAAGATGCCCGTTTCAAAATCCGTGGTCGGGGAGGTGCTGGAGGAGTACAGGATGCAAGGCAGATGATTAACTCACGCAAACAGGGGCAAAATCCATTGGGTGTTCCTGTGCAAACCACACAAAATGCAGCTGGACCTTATAAACTACAGACACTTGTTCCACAAATACAAATACACACCAACAGTGTTGCTGGCGCAAACTCAAGGCAGTTTACGCCCACTATACCGTTATTGAGCGTGAGGGGAGGTGCTACACCTCAGCTGGTCAGTAGCAAAAGAATACTGGATGCACGTGATAGATTGAGCCTGAAGAGGAGTGTTGGTGGGACACAGCAGTCTGCTGCTGCCCCACCACTAAAGATAACAAAGACCATTCAGGTTTGTTTCTCTGCTTCTCAGGTGTAATTGTATGTTTTTGTATTTGTATTACCTGAATGCTTATCTGAGATTTCTTTTATAGCAACGTCCACTCAGCGTTACACCTGGCATCCGTGCAACTACACAGGTAGAGTTTAACTTTCATCATGAAAGATTCATGTAACAAGTGTTTTTTTTTATGATGGATTTGTCTGTTAAGTGTTACTCATACGGTGTAATGCGTTTCTCAGCCTGGCTCACATGACCCCAATATGGCCGCCAGTAAACAAATTAAGATAACAACTTCAAACAATTCCCTACGGGTAAGGACTGCTTCCTACAGCTGATCTGTAGCTTTTAACCATTGGTTTGAGACTAAGCACTCTGTCCTAATTTCCTCTGCTTTTTATTATATAGCCTAGTCCAGTTGGGTCCACATACTCCATGTCAGCCCCCATCACCAAGGTGGTTAAAAATGATGCCTACACAGCGCCTCGCCCCCCTGTCCTTGTGGCACCAACTCGGCCCAACAGCAGCACGGCTCCTGCGCGATCTTCAACTGCAGCTTTGCAGCCTGTCACTAGAAGACTTCAGCAAAACACAGCAGAGGCCAGCACAGCAGTTCCAACCCCCCCTCAGGTATTTACCTTATATTTACTCCTGTTTTTTTAAGAATTCCACGCCTTCCTTCTGTGGTAGTCTGACACCAACTGTTCTCTCTGTGAGTGCAGCATTCAGATTATTGTAGTGATATTTCTGTCAGGACTTGAGCATTCAGATGTGTGTATTGTAGTGATATTTCTGTCAGGACTTTATCATAGTAACCATTCAAACGTGAAAGTACCGTCAAATAAAAATGAAGACTTTTGTCAATAAATATACTGCAGTTATGTTCTTTGCCTTTCACACAAAGGCAAGATTTATTTGCCATTGGTCTGTCATTCTGATGCAGTCAGTCAAAAAGTGGTTTTTAAGCCTGTACAAAACCATGTAAAGACTATACAATTTGTCTGTCAAGAAATAGCTGTAGCTGTGTTGCATGTGCCTGAAAGCACCTTCTATACATGACATATTTGCTGTGTTTTTCTTTTTTTTACAGCCGACCTTTAGTCCTTTGGAAGGGACAAAAATCACAGTAAACAATCTTCATCCCAGGGTCACTGAGGAAGACATAGTTGTGAGTGATTTTCACATGTTAAATGTCCAGAGTCCGTGTATTGTACCATGGTTCCTTCTTCACTTCTCTCCACCTCTTTTGTCAACAGGAACTGTTCTGTGTATGTGGTGCCTTGAAGAGGGCACGGCTGGTCAAAGTGGGCGTGGCCGAAGTTGTGTTTGTTCGTAAAGAAGACGCTGTGAGCGCATACAGGAAGTACAACAACCGTTGCCTGGATGGTGAGTGATGGTCCCATGCATTTTTGGATACCTTCACCCGGAGGTACCATCTTTGGGGTTTTTCTTTTAATGATTTTTATTTGTTAATTGAATTAATTTTATCCCCAGGTCAGCCCATGAAGTGTAATCTTCACATACAGGGAAACGTCATCACGTCTGATCAGCCCATTCTGTTGTAAGTGACCATGTACAGTTGCTGTTCATTTCTGTCAAGTCTGATCATTTTTTGCTTAAATCTAATTTGGCTGATTACATTTACAAGGATCTTAAAGCTGATTTATTGAAGCTGTTAGCCTAGTTGTGGTTAATGTATGACGCCAATTGTTTAATTGAAAACATGGGACAAGATGCTTTAGTCGCTCATCCTGTTTCTCCTCCTGCAGGAGGCTCAGTGATACTCCTGGCTCGGGCAGCAGCACCAAGAAAGATGGCCTGCCCCCCTCCCTGTCTCGTCCCGCTGGTCAACGAGCCTCTTCACAGCCAACACCAGAGGTGGACCCTCAAACCATCCTCAAAGCTCTGTTCAACTCCACTGCACAGTCCAGCTCCACCACTGAGCCTTCCAGCTCTCAGGCTGCCACAGCCTTTCGCATCAAGATATAACTTGTCTTTAGTGTGAATACATGTACTTCTGCTTTCTCAGTGTCCACGTGCAAACTGTGGTTCTCACCCTGACAGCAGGCGGCCTCTATTACTGCAATTTTTACACATTTGATATACACGGCTGAACATGGAGAACCTGGATATCGACTTCCTGATTTTGTTATGTGGTCAACTGTGTGTTTCTAGGATGTACTAGTTGGAAGGAAATGTGATAATTGTTGTGATCTGACAGATTTTTCAAATCAAATGGGGGTTTTTTTTGTTTTGTTTTGCTCTTGTATTGGCCCATGTGTACATTTCTCACATTATGTTGACTTTTTATATGCCACAGGAAAATTTACTAATGCCCACACATGGAAAAAAAGACTTAGAACTGTATTTAACACTGACCAGGAGAAGCAATGTCATTGAGAGATGCGTAAATGTCCGAAGCCTGTACTTTTTTAAAATTCTTCCTGCCAAATAATGAAAATAAAACATGTTTGGACCATTAAAGAAACTTTAATAACTTATTTACATTTTTGAATTACTCCCTAAAAGCTGTGTTACCTGAGTGTTCTCTGCTAAAGTTAAATTCAACTTCAGACAATGTTTAAATACAGGAAGGATATTAACAATAAAACATTTTAGTTTAAAAATTCTGGAGCAACCATTACGCTATCTTTTTTTTTAATCATAAACTTGTGTGCTGTTCTCAGCTGGTTTTACTCGGTTGTTTTTTTTTAAACGGTATGTGAACTCTTTCTGTACACTACTTTATATTCTTTACCAGTGGCTGTAAATGTCTTTTCTGTTGATTTTGTCAGTGATGAGGATAAAAAGGAGGATGATATGGAATACCCACTATTAAATGTTTAGCCTTGTATACGTCCCTCGACTCATTATTACTGTGTTCTAAACGATTGTATTCATAATAATAACAAAAATTTCTTTAGTTTGCTTCAGTGTCTTATTTTGAAAGGAACGTATGAAACCCGCGTTTATGCGGTTTAATTTGTATAAACAAAGCCTGAAAGTTAGAATGTTAGGGAATTTGAATATGTTCACATGATTTATTTTATAAATATAGACATACTCTCCAGTATATAAACCTCGCGCGACCTCTTTTATTTCGGTAGAACCGTTTGACTTTTTGGTTCGCCAATACTTTGTGCTTCCGGTGTCAAAGGTTCTACCAAGATGGCGTCGTCCGAGAAGAAACATGCGAAAGCCAATGCGTATATTATTCCTGGAGGATTTACAGGTATTGTTGACACAACATGGAATAAAAATTCGCCAATACGTTGATTTATCAATGTTGAATTTATTTTTTCCTGGCGTTAAATGCCAGGAAATGTTGTGAATGTTGTTTGATGTGTGATTGTACCGGTTGGGGCAGACGATACAGTAAGTGTTGTTTTTCTAATTTCGTTTTTTTAATTTTTGCAGTTTTATCTCTGCGCTTCGACTCCGACTCTGTTGCTCAGCACAACCTGTACGTGAAGGAACATAAAGTCCGAGCAGAGAAAAGTTCTCACAGACCGTTGGACCGGACTCTATTTGTCCTCAACATTCCTCCTTACTGTTCAGAGGTACCAGTCGTTAAGTTGACACAATTGTTTTTTTTTAAAGAAGAAGACAGCGTAACAATCCAAATTAATATCTTTATATAATTACTGGCTTGTGCAGTAGCGAAGTTTCTAAGTCCTGCTGTTTGTGTTTCAGGCTGTTGTCAAAGAGCTGTTCTCACAGTTTGGCTGCGTTCAGTCTGTGGAGCTGAAAGACCACCCTGGCTCCTCCGAGGAGTCTGGACCAAAACTATCAAAGTTCTTCAAACAAGCTGAAAATAAGGTTTCTGTTGAGCTCTTCTACTTTATCTCACGCTCATTATACACGTCACAGATATGATTATTTGACTTTGTGTGTTTTCTCATCACGTTTAGGGTTTCAAAGTGGGCTACATTGTGTTTAAAAAACCTTCCAGTGTGAATGCAGCTAAATCACATCCTGTTGATGTTCCACTTATAGTCTCCACTGAGGAGCATCCAGTGAAAACAGGAGTACAGAGTGAGTGAATAAACAAGAGAGAAATTAGGAAATGGATATTTACGATACTTGACTGTTGATTTAACCCCCTCCAGAATGGATTCAGGAGTACAGAGATTCTTTTATCGAGCCAGACAATCTGCAGCAAATCGTCGACTCCTTCATGGTAGATTATGATAAGCGTAAAAAAGAGGCAAGTTTGTTCCTTCCTTCCCTCCTTTTCCTGAATTCTCCCGACCGTTGTTGTAAAACAAGTTCTGTTTTTAATTGTGTCACAGGAAGAGGAGCAACAGAGTAAAGAGGCTGAGCAGCAACAAGAGGATGAAGATGGCTGGGTGAAAGTCACAAGAGGGAACAAGGCAACTAAGGCCCGCCCCCACACAGAAGCAGCCAATCAGAGAACTCTACATAGAGAGCTGAAGAAAAGAGAGAAGAAGGAGCTCCTAAACTTTTACACCTGGCAACACAAGAACACGCAAAAAGAACGTAAGTCGCTCGTACCGTTTAGTCATTACTTTCCCTCACAGGCATGAATTTGAAAAAAAACAAAAAAACAGTGTTGAGTTGAACAGGTTTTTTTTTCACAGTTTTTTTTTTCTTTCTGTACAGATATTGCTGAACTAAGGAAAAAGTTTGAAGAGGATAAGCAGAGAATAGCTCTGCTGAGAGCACAGAGAAAATTCAAACCATACTGAAATCCCAAGATTTGAGTTTGTTTCTTACTGCGATTGTATGTTTGCCACATTGTAAACCGTTTATATTAAAAGAGCATCTGTGTTTATCATCATTTGATCATTTGACTTGGCAGCACTCAAAGACAGAATGAAAAAACAAATCGTACACAGCTGTGAATGAAAAAACAAATCATACACAGCTGCGTCAACGAATGATGATACAAGTAAACAGCGTTAACGATGATATGATGATACAAGTAAAAAGACTTAAGAGTAGGAACCTTTCTGCTAATTTGCTACTCGGCTAGTTCTGTCGGTAGAATACAAGGCTCGTAATTCCAGGAGTGGAATTGCAGCAGATCTGCTGTTAAAGGTTGATTCTGTAACACCTGCCACTCAAACAGTTGAAGCGTCACTACGTATGTGTTGCATCAATTTTTTAACCCTGAAAGTGCTGTGTTAAACAGACTATTTTCTCCTTCATTAAATCCAACGTGATGCAGAAACAAGTATAACCAGTAGAGACGGTCAAATAAAGTCATTTATTGCCGTGGTTTTGTATCGGCTCCTGCATTTATTTCTTCTTTGTCCACTTGGTGACATTGGAGATGAGAATGAAGAGCAGAGTCAGCAGCAGAGCAGCAGCAACGCCAGAGATGACGAACACCGTCACCCGCAGCACTGAGGAAAAGTCCACAGCATTTAGTCAGCGGTGCCTGAGTCTTAATCTGGAAAATAATCCGTGTGGGTCACGACTTACTTGCAGTTTGTTTGACACACAGACCGCTCTCCCCTTCAGTGCCGTTCTGTCTGAGCAGCAGCGGTCCGTAGGACACCAACTGGAGCTGGTCGGATTTAGTGGGAATCTCCCTTCGCTGCCTCTCACCGTCAGCTGCTGTGAGTTAGGACGAGAAGGTTTAGGACCAGCACGTAGAGGTGTGTGAGGTCGACATGATGAACGGTGTGACATGAACCACTCACAGATGATGGTACAACTCTGTGCACAGTCGACGTCATCTGTACAAATTTCCACCCAACAGTAGAAGTACATCTGAGAATAGAATTGCAATAATTGATCATTTGTTTCAACCAACTTTTATTTGTAAATATGATGAAAACAAATTTGTATTTGTCAGTACTTACTTCCTCCTCGCTTGGATGGCCTGTCTGAGGGTCTAAAAAGGCAAAGGTTTTGACATTGAATCTCCTGACTTGGGAGTGGGAAGTGGTCTTCCCTTGTTTATCCACAGGGAACGAGCCCCTCATGTTGTCCAAAGGGTTCGGACAACTATTCAGGAAGAAAAAGAAAAAATGAGCTTTAATATATTTCTTTTTAATAGCTGTGGTCCTAAACTCACCCATCATAGAGAAGCAACCACACCGAGTGTCTGGACACGGGGTGGGCGAAGCAGTCCTGCACCTGCAGGGAGAGGCTGGGGTCAGGGGACGGCGGAGCGATGGAAACTTCGACGTACGCCACCTTACGCAGAGGCAGCGTCAGTGGAAGCTCGTTTTCGGGGAAAAAGGACGTGAAAGACGCATCTGGGAAATGACATCCAAATATAAATGATTTCAGATTTGTTGTCAGGACCGTCGGTGCCGAGCCTCATGATCGTCACCTTTAGCTATTCTCATCTGCAGTTTGAGAACTCCCTGTGCAACCACGGGGGGCGGGTTTGTCACTGCATACAGAGAACGCAACTTGGCCGCACGCTGGAGGTCGGATGCTGCATATTCACACTGCACCTGGAGACTGTAAGACAGCACAAAGGTGTCAATACGTACACTAACAGACCACAACAACCATGGTGTAGAACTCAAGAAAGTCATATCCCACCTGTAGGGTGAATATTTAGCTTTACTGTGAGCGTGTCGCTCCTCCACTTCCACCTCGTAGGTAACGACGCCTTCATGCTCCTGAACGCAGGAAATGGATGGAAAATAAATGTGTCCGTTAATCAGGATGTATTTACAAACAAAAAATAAGATGGAAAACAGAAGTCAAGCTGCAGATATGAACTTTGTCCAAATTTAAATAAATTTAAATAAAGGCTGTCAGAATATAAAAAATCTGAGCTATAGATTAATCATGATTAATCGTAATTAGATAAATAAATATATACATTGTTAGAACAGAAAGAGCCAGTAGATTTATTTGTGACTAATCCAGTGTAATCTACTCTGGTCCTCAATATAAGGTGCCGTGAACTAACTCGATCTCAAATCTGTGAACAAACAGCTTCACCTTCTTCTTTGTACCACACTCTGTGACTCCGATCTTAAAAACTGCCGTGTCTGCCGTGGAGACCACAGGGCGACACTCTGGGTGACCTTTGACCGTCAGGTTGCCTGGATTAATGTCTGTGACCTCCACGGAAAACACAAAATTCCCATCCAGGGAGCATGCTGGGAAAAACACACAGAATAAATGCACTTTTAAAAACTATATGGTGTCATCCATTTGGAAAGTAACACAGAATAAATACACTTTTTAAAACTATATGGTGTCATCCATTTGGAATTTGAAGAGAATAAAAAAAACGACCTCACCATTGAGTCTGTAGTAACAGGTGGAATGGTGAGCATCGTAGCAGCAACCTCGTTTGGTACAGGCCTGGCTAGAAATGCCCTGATGACCACAGTCCACCTGCAGAGCTTTGACCGTTCCACACTTTCCAGGCAACACTGAGAAGAAAACATAGAGAGAAAAACAAAAAAAAAACCTTTGGTTTGGTGTCAACAATATATTAATACAAACACAGATCACGTCACTCACATTTGGGGCCGACTGAAGCTTCGTTGCTGCTCCTCTTCCTCAGAGGACAGCTGATGTTCACCCTGAACCACTGATCTTCTCCCCTCAGCTGCACCTGCAGCGGTATGACCACTCTGTTGTGCTGAGGACCAAAAGTCAGAACGGC